ATAGGTTACTTAAAGTCCACGGTAGATGGGCTTCTGATCAAGCCAAAGATGGGTATATTAAAGACAATTTAAAATCTCAAATGGCTGTTTCCTTGAATCTTGGCATATAGTTCTCAAATTATTTATTCCTTTGTTTTATCGAAGTTACTGCGAGCAAACAAACCTAAATTATGACTTGTCTCTTATTTAGCCATGTATTTAGAATAGAAATGTTTTAAATTCGGACGAATTCATGAGGGAGAATTTAAATTTATTTCTATTCCGTTATATTTGGAATTTCCCTATTCTATTTCTATCTTTAGACTTGTGGTACAAGTTTGGCTAGTATGTAAATCAGAAGTGGTCTGATGTTACTGTTGTTTTCTGCACGAATATTTCGAGGGCGGTAGTACGGGTGGGGTTTTATAGGCATATATAAGTCCTGATTACGTTTTATTATTATCGATGTGCTCCAGTAACTTTGATAGACGAAGTTAACGTTAAGCTCTGCATAATATATTACAGTTATGTTTGTATTGATATGTATTTAGAGGACATTGTGAATGTATATAGATGGAATTGTGGTATATTTTTGTAATTTGTAAAATGTTTACAAGATATTAAATGTTGTTTCGCTGAGAAAATAAGAAAGTTACAGCGAGCAAACAAACCTAAATTATGACTTGTCTCTTATTTAGCCATGTATTTAGAATAGAAGAAATGTTTTAAATTCGGACGAATTCATGAGGGAGAATTTAAACTATAGGATATGTAACATGGCAAGTGCCAATGTGGCATTTGTCTTCGGAATTTTGGAATTGGTCACCGTTACCATGGAAACAGCAAAAATATCAAAAATTTCAAAATACTCCAAACTTGATGAAACTTTACAAAAATGTTAATTGGCATGTGTAAATGGATTGTTTGACTTTCAAAATGGCTGTCCATTTTTTTTGTCCAGCTTATATCTCGGAATTTTATGAACCAGTGTTAATGGAACTATACAATAATGATAACCAGCATGTGCAGATTTGCAATCGGGGAATGGCATTATTAAGATGGCCGCCGTTACCATGAAAACAGCAAACATGTCCAAAATTTCAAAATGCTCCAAACTTAATGAAACTTTACAATAATGTTAATTGGCATGTGTAGATGCACTCTTTGACTTTGGAATTTTCAAAATGGCTGCCGTTACCCTGGCAATGGGGGGACTAGGGTTCCATCTGTTATTACTCGCTATTACAAATCTAGTTTTATTTGCTATTTAAACTTGTTTGTTTTTTCACTAATATAGGAAGTTCTAGATATGGTTTAAACAATAAAGATATAAAAATAAGAAAATGTGGTATGGTTGCAAATGAGACAACTCTCCAGAAGAGACCCAATGACACAGAAATAGTTTGCCAAATCTCTTGACAAATGGACAAACAAATACAAAATATAGAATAATAAAAGAAAATATTAGAGAGAATAAATGATGCTAAAATATAAAGAATAAAGTATAATTGAAAAAAAAAAAAATTAACAAATAGAGACCAATTACCTTAACTATTAAGGAATCTTAAACAAAGGACTCCTCATTCAGATTTTCATCAAGTTTGGATAATTTCTTTTTCTTTCCCCTTTTCTTTATTTTATTATTATTATTTTTTTTTCCTCTTCTACCAGTTGCGTAAGCATGCGGGTTTATGGTACACCTGCTAGGTTTAACAGGTTTAAATGAAATCACCCAACAATAATGTAACACGGCTCTAAAATGTTATGTTTAATAATCCTCTTAAATTAGTGTAGTCATTGACCGATATAGTTTGAATAGTTTTGAATAGAATGAACAATAAACACCACATGCCTCCTCTTAACGATAAAATGAAGTGTAATTATCATATAGTGTTAGTGCAGTATATCTCATTTTACGTCCTGTTGTTGATTTACAACGTGTTTATTGCATAAATATAGAAGGACAGACGTTTAGAAAAGAAATTAAATAAGAATAAATTTCAAATCAAATATGAAATTTGACATTTATTGCTAATACTTCATTCGTTTTCCTAAGCCAAAATTCCTTCTACCTTTCGTTCAATCAACTTTGAAAATATGCTTTTGATGAAATGTTATGTTGATGTGACAATAATCGCTACGGATTGGCGGTAGATAAAGTAAAAGATCCCTCTGGTCAGTTATACATTGCAGGTGCATCATATGTGTAAACTTTATGCTATATAATAAACTTACATACAATTTTTGCATAATGTTCAAACATTGTTGTCTTATTTGTGACTAAACGTTAAAACTAGTTGACCTCTACATCGACTCTGTATTTTCTCAAAATGACTTTTCGTTTGTGTGTACAAATCTTTCAATCACACTTTTAAGTTTATTTAATTTTTATTTATATTTGTCGTTTATGATACCCAGCATTACATATTACCCGTTGCCACAATAGGGAGGATGAAGTACCATATTGAATAAGATAACTCCTTTTAAAATTTAATATTTTAAGTCAAAAATCAATATTTTCAGATTATTGGTACATAATAAAAATCTACATGTCCCTTTCTGTTGCCGCATTGTTTCTGTGTTGTATTATATAGCATACAGTTTACACTTATGATAAACCTTACGTAGTGTATCTCTCTTTTTCAATACACTGGATAATACGTCTTGTAATGATAACACGGACTTATTTCCTATGTTATCTTGGAACGTATTATGTCCAGCTTACAAATTTGTGCAAACTATAAAATCGCATACCTAAGTGACTGTGAGTAATGAATAAGATATAAACATGAACTCACTTAATGCTCAAGGGTATTCTACATAGTGTATATACTAGCCTCTAATTTGGAATACAGATCTAAATCCCTTGATTTGCATATGACTTTGATTGTCGGTGTACATCTCATTGTATTTCAGTAAAGTGTACACTTTAGCCAACGGTGGAAGCAAGTCTAGTAACCGCTTGACTTTGTCTGTAATTTCATTCGTCTGTCCGTCAGCGCAATGATTTTATATTTGGTATGTAGCTTTATTATGTTGAAAGTAAACAAGTTACCGCGCAGACTGTAAGCCAACTTTTTTTCGCTGATACTTTATTTCGCGTTAAGCCCTTTCTAGTCCACTTTGCAGCGATTTATTTTCGCGAATTTCTAATTAACTTGATGTAGTTAAATAAGGAAAGATTCAAGTTTCACATATTTGCGACGATTTATGTTCGCATTGTTTTTTCTTCTCGCGAATGTCGCGAAAATAAATTGCTCGCGAAAATAAGTTGGTTTATAGTACTTTTTTTTGGATAGTTTTAAATTTTACATTCTCTTTGTACACGGATATTGTTTTTCCATTTGTTCGTGGCTTTCATGGAATGTTGATACTGTTAATTTAGTCTGGAGTAGAAGTGTTTAAGCAATTACTAATATCACTTCCGATAGTTTAAAATTTGAAAATACTTTTTGAACAAGGAACAGTGTTTTTGCTTCAATGAACGGGAGCGATTTATTTTTGGTCTGAAATGTGATAATGTTAGATTGCAGTGTGTAGTTAATCACATAATTCATTAGCACATATAAATATGTATGTCTTCAAACCTTTAAACAATATGATAATTTTTACACAAAATATACAGTTACATTCTAACATTTTCGTCTTTAAGCGTTACATCAAAGAACGTACTTTATTCATATCCTATTGAACGTACTTTTAAAAATTATTCTTATCCATCATATTTCAATACAGATAGTCCCTAAATCAATTACACGCAGGTCCATGCCCAGTATTGGTGTTGGTAAAAAAAAAACATTGTATCGGTATATTCCGTTGAAAAATAGTGTGTAAATAACTCTTAATGAACAGTAAGCCAATAATAGCGAAGACACATTGATTTTCGAAAAACGAATCTGGTGCAGAAATATTGGCACCGTTTATGTTATTAGCATGTGTAATGTTGCAGATTTCTAGGATAATCGTTAACTTCATCTATCATTGTTGATTTTATACTTTTGTCGTAATTTAATTTGTTCTGCCTTTGGCGGCTTCATGACCCTGTCAAATCGCAATACTATGTCTAAAAAATAGAATGTTTCACATTGGAATTGATACATGATTCAAATGTTGTCGTTGAAACGAAAAATAAATGTCAAAAGATATGCGTAAACAAAATTTAAAAGCTGATCATACACAGCAGTCCGTCATGTTTGTATTTCGTTCAATGGTGACGCATTAATCAGACCGTATGTTTTACTGTTTGCATTGTTTAATATTTCGTTATGCCGATGCCTTTTATATAATTTACATACCACCAAGTGTTACATCCACGCCATGTTGTCTCTGGTAGTTTGCTGATACCAAACCTCAACATTGATACATTCAGAATCTACAAGTGTCTAGATTTTCTCTTTTTAATCTAAGTTTTCTAATTAGCAAAAAGTTATCATCTGGCAGGTCTATATATTATGAATCAAACTTACATACGCAAGCGATATCTTATAATACTAATTAGAATAGGAAAATATTATCAGTATAAGATAGACACCTAAGTAATACGTCATTGGTTCCCTCAAGAATTCAAACTTACCAACACTTTATTAATATCTCACTACGCGTAATACAAAATCATAGAAATCAGAAGATGTGGTGCGATTGTCAATCAGATAACTCCCACCAAAGACCAAATGATATGGAATTTGGGTTTTTCGTAATTGAAAGATTTGTATATTGCATCACATATTGTTCCAGAGAGCGTCGTGCTTACTTTGCGTTTTTGATTTTTTAATGGGGACGGGATTGTCGTATGTGTACGTGTATGTGTAAGTTGGATGTTCACTTTTTTTTTTACAGATGGGGTTGTTTTTAGGGATGTTTTTCTGCTATTATTGTTGTTTTGTTCTTTAGAGGTGAGGGGGCATTTGCAATATACCTGTATCTAACTTACCATTACATCTTTAATGGAATTGAACCCGACATATCTTTTATTGATATAATTTAAATTGTTTTTAGATATAACTTTATTATGTGTATTTCAGATCAACCAATCCGACTATCTGTCATGTGGAAATGGATCGAACCTCACATGTGATGACAAGTGGAACACAGGTCGAGGTTCAGTTCACAGGTCAATTGGGTCAGATGTATTTACATATGTCACACCGGTAATACTTGCTGTAGGAATAACCGGGAATACAATTTCCTTATTAGTGTTTCTTACTAAGAACATGAGGAAGTTATCTGCAAGCGTATATCTCGCAGCACTATCAACAGCTGATCTCATGGCTTTGATATTTTATGTCCTTGTTGAGTGGATAAAAAAAGGAATACCAGTCGGTTCCGGACAAGTTACAGCTCCGTTTTTGGAAAGTAATGGAGTATGTCAGATTATTTTGTTTATGTCGTATTCTTTCCGTTTTCTTTCGGCTTGGCTTGTAGCATGTTTCACATTAGAAAGATATGTCGGGGTTTGTCATCCATTAAAACGGAAGGATGTATGTAACCTACGATCTTCAAAAAGAATCGTTTTCTTCGCAATAGTTGTTTCCTTCGTGATAGCCTCATTCCGACCATGGCTGAGCGAAGTGCTTTATATTGGGCCCAATAATGTTCCATCGTGTACAAGACGAGTAGAACACACATACCTGTCATTCATTTATGACTGTATTTTTGGTGTGTGTATCACCTTTTTGCCATTCCTGATTATAACGATACTGAATACACTGATCATTCGGAAGTTGATCACTCGAAACAAAAGACACAGACGGGTGAAAATAATAACAGAGGAAAGCATAATTCGATTAGAATTTACCATCATTTTGATAACTATATCATTTTGCTTCATCGCTTTTAATACTCCATATGCCATTATATGGTTTAAACATTTTCTGCAAATGAGCTCTATACGGATGGAGGATAGTTTGTACGTTCCAACAAATCAAAACTTGTTGATTTTTACGAAGACTATATTTTTTATGAATTATTGCATTAACTTTTTCCTGTATAGTATAACAGGTGCTTACTTCCGGAAAGAACTCAAAATGTTATTTACATATAGAAGTAAAGTTTATCAAAGTTATCACAAATGCTCCCTCCCTAACTCAACAGCAACAACACCACAATCGTGGATTGCTTGAAATATGAAAACAAAAACAAAAAACGGTTCAATGTTCATGAAGGTTTAAAATTTACAGTTCAATATAGGTGTAAAGTTCACAGTTCAATAAAGGTGTAAAACTAGCTGTATCAATGAATAATTTCATATGAGGAATGCTTTATTTTATTTCATTTCTCATCTTGTGACAAAAGACGATTCGATATTGATAATTACCTGACATGTGCAATGTTTAAATAAATAGACATGTGAGTTATATTTCAATGAAATACCAAACAATCAGCAAAAATGACTTGAAGACAATTAAATTAAGATCAGATACAGGTTGTGCGAAACGTCATATGGCATTCATATTTAATTTATTTCAGTATTTGCAAGATTTCATATTGTGTTTTGGCTTAAGTTCGTTTTCTACAACTATTTAAACATTGCCAGTTTTAGCGAGACTTCGAAGTACAAAAAACAGTTCGACCAAGTTTTCCCCTGATTTGGTAAAGGGTTTCTGTTGTTGACTTGTTTTTTTCTTCAGTTGTATTCATGAACAAAGATTATTGATGGACCCACTTTTTAGAAGAGAGACGAAAGATACCAGAGGGACATTCAACCTCATAAGTCGAAAAAAAAAAGATCTGACAATGCCATGACTAAATAAAAAGACCAACAGACAAACAGTAGTACACAAAAAATAACATAGAAAACTAAAGACTGAGCAACACTAACTCCACAAAAATTTGGGGTGATTTCAGGTGCTCTTAAAGTGTAAGCAGATCCTGCGTCACATGTGGCACTCGTCGTGTTGCGCAGGTTAGTACAAACCCGGTAATACGTCTAATTTAATAGGTCACTTTTTGAAAAGGGGACGGGATTTTAGTTACGACATTAGGAACATATCCGCTATCATCTGTGAAACGCATATTCCATAACGGTCAACCATCTCGTGATGGCGTCCGTAAAACTTACGAAGGGATGATTTCAACTTCAACACTTGGAACTCTTGGTTGTATACCTTCCTTATGAGCAGCAACCCTCTTTCAAGGCGTGGGATATCGTTTCAACTGGTCGATATATACTCCGTATGCAGGCGCTGTTGGAATGTTGCTACATAGAAAGTGTTAATTTCACTTTCTGGGTTAAATAATTTAAGCTTTCTTGATGACAACAATGTTTGTTGACTATTGTTTGTTTTTACTTCGTTTTCCATTGGCCATGGTTTTATCTTTGTTTTTATTGTTTATCCTATTTTTGGTTTCTTCTGTCCCTTTTTTCGAATTGTACATATATGTAACGAAAACGAGTTAAAGTTATATTTTGTGTGGCGTACATATATAGCTAAAATAAAAGTTTTTGCACCAATATGTTTCTAACGCCAGTGCATTTTGTATTGCAAACACATGTATTTTAGCTATTTACAAGTTTTAGCAAAACTTCGCATTACAGATATATGCAACTGCAATGTAATACAAATTTCAACGATTGTTCGTATTGCACACATCTGTAACTAATACCAGCTCGAGAGCATTTGTATTGCACACATATGCAGCTAATGCAATTTTCATCGAGATGTTGAGATGAAGTAATACCCACACATCCAACCGTATGTGTTCTTTGGATGTTTATTTTTTTTTTATTATTCTTTATCGTGCTTCCAATTATTTACTAGTTTGGCGTTTTACTAGTGGCTTGTCTAATACATACACTGCAACGTGACATTCAGCACTGTTCATTTAAACAAAAATCTGAAAAAAAGTAAGGAGCCATAATACAAGAGAGGCGAAGGATACCAAGGGAACATTCAAACACAAAAGCCGACCAAAAAAAAAACAAAAAGACAAATAACACTATAAAAAAAACATCATGAAAAGCCAATGACGAAGCAACACGAACTCCACCAAAAACCGGGGGTGATTTCAGGTGCTCCGGTTGGGTACGCAGATTAAATCAGATTCTGTTTATAACAGATGATTAGTCACCAAAATTAGTTAGCTGGGTGTTAACCCTCCCATCAACAGCTAAATGCTCTAATTCAGACAGTGTCTTGAATTTATCTCCTGGTTATCTTATATTAATTTTGTATTAGTGTTATGTATAGTTCTATCGTAACTAATAGTATGTGTTATCCATTTGTGTCAACATATTTGCACAATCTTAACAAAAATACGAAACTCTATGGTAAATTTATAAAGGGGAAGTCAATTAAACTTGATAATATTGAATGCACGATTATATCAACCAACTGATCGCATTGAAAACAACTTATATATTTTTTGACTTGATAACACAAATTGTCGGTTTAACCTGCATGGTTTTATTTCTAACCGAACCTCCCAGTTGTAAAACAGTTGTTTATAGTTGATAGTTCAGAATAATGATAGTGCATAATTATGTACAAATTATAATGTTTACAAAATTGCAACGTGTATACAACATAACCATATATTGTCATGCTGAGTGTTACATGTATATGTTGCAAGTGTGTACAAGGACATATATCAAACCTTCAAAGATATAAACAAATTTTACATATGATTTAATTTTTCTTGTTTCTCATTAGTTGATTTGGTCACATTTTTCCTAATAGATACTTTATATATTTTCGCGATTTTGACATATTGACTCGACGTTACCATTTTTAAGGATTATATTCACTCAATGTTACTTAAAAATAAATAGTAGATAACGTATTGACCTAGCCAAAGTCCATAATTAATTAATATGTAATTGGACATTTATTTTAGTTGATGTATGCATTGCTAATTTTTATTGGTTGTTTGTTGCTTTAGATCTATTGTTCAATCACATCTGCATGCTAGCAAATATTTAGTTATCTAGTATGCGATTTACAAGCTTGTAAATAATTTTGATACTTGTTTCACAATGTTTGTATTTAGATTAAATGTTTTCAAACAGCTAGATATATTTTAGTTAATTATATTATAGTAATATAATTGCATGCGACAATGGTCATTACACCTAGTCAAAGGAAAAGTAAACTATTGCAATGATTTGCTCTGGTCCATTGTTGATGCGACATCAGGTTTATTTTTTCAGGCAGAACAACGGAAATGTACACTTTGCAAATTATATAACTCCTGTCATAAGTTTGTTGCAAACACGATGTGTATGAGATATTACTAGATACCAAAGGGACATTCAAACTCATCGCAGTCAAACTTAAACTGACAATGCCATTCCAAAAAAAAAAAAAAAAAAAAAAAAAAAAACACACAACAAAAAAGACAAGAAGAGAAACAACAGTTCCCAAAACAAAACATAGAATTCAAAAGACTGAGCAACACGAACCCCACCAAAAGCTGAAGGTGATCTCAGGTTGTCGGGAAGGGTAAACAATATGTGTATCAGTCAACTCAAGAGAGATATGTTGGGAATAAATCTTAAGATATTAAGTAATTTGTCCGATCTCTGTATTATGCTCGATTGTTACATTTCAATGAATCTGGATAGAAAGAGACGCTGCCTATGTCGACGAACCAAGAGTCAGTACAAATGTAGTTCACGCGATAGCTTGAACCTCAGGGTAAAGTTTTAACCTAAGTTTGTCTATTCAAAATATATTAACGAAATTTGAACTTGTGTACATTACTTTTGTTGCTTTATTTATTCGCAAAACACAATATAGAAAACAAAAAAACAGAGCAACACATATCATGTTATAATAAAGCTATCATTAATCCTCTCTAAAATTATGTTGTTTTTTCCTAGCAGCGCACAATGTTTCTAAAATGTGAATATGAATGAAAAAAACAATAAATTCAGCAACTTTCTTCATTTTTGTGAAAAGGTGCATGCATTTCGATTTAAATGTCATGACGTCATTACATACAAAATCTTGTGCAACTTGTTTATATTGCAATCATAACGTGCAAATTTGAAATAGTTCACTAAACTTCATTTTCTCTTGCTCTGTTTTTTTGTCCCAGTAATGTTAAAAATCATCATTATACTTACATAGCTCTGTCAGGAACAGGATATTTATGCACGTGACAATTTAATTCATGACCTAGCATTTGTCTTCAAACCAAGCGAAATGCAAAATGGCCATTTTTGTATCTCTGTATTTTGGGTATTTATACATTATACATATACCTCTTGATGCTTCCCAAAGTTTTATAACTACCCCTGTCTTCGTACACTGGGGACTATTTATTGATGTCAAGCAAAATATTAGTATGCAATTTTTTAGAGCAAATAATCCGTTTGAAGGAGACAGTTTCACTAAATGTTCTAGATTATCTTTTATGTGTGACGATTGAGTTTCTGCACACTCTTCTACAGTACATTTGACTTGTGTTTATGGTAATTTTCTACACGTTTCTATAGCATCTTATACATTGGTTGGTAAAAGTTATTCAAACTCCTCTTTAGCATCTTATACATGTGTTGGTGGAAGTCTTACATAACCTTGAAGAGCATCTGTTACAAGTGTTGGATGAAAATATCCCTACACAATTATAGTATCTTAAATATGCGTAGGTGCGCGTTTTTCACACACTTGTAGACAACCTTAAACATGTGTTGGTTGAAGTCTTGCATACTCAATTAGATCACGCATGCTCTTCTAGATCACCTCAAACATGTGTTGGTAAAAGTATTTTATACTCTTCTAGAGCACCGTATACATTTATTGATAGACATTAAAAATACTCCTCTAGAGCCCCCATATCAATGTGTTGGTGGAATTGTATGCCTCCTATAACAGAGCACATTATTCATGTGGTGTTTGAAGTTAAACATACTTAATACCAAGAGTATATTATATTTGTTTTCGTCACGTTTTTCCTGTTCTGTTTATGTTGACTAAGTTATCAATTGAGTGACTATTTCACGAATTTGGCTATTGTAACTGTGCTATTAATATCATATATTCAAGTCATGATTCATATACGTGATGTAATGGTTCAACTTTTATATCTACACCTTCAAACATTCATTTTGAATCAAATCAAAACGAAACAAATGTATGTATATCCCAGCGTATATGCACCTTGAAACATACTCAATTCTATTTCCAGGTGAGTAGGATCAATTACAATAACGATACATAAAGTTCATTCTAATAAACACCATAATTAGAAATTTAATTCACCATTGCTACACAAAGTAGATTTCGTAATTACATTCAGTAGGCGACTGGCATTTCCGTTTCGTTACATTCTTTTCTGCGTTGACAAATAGGCACTGATAGCTTACAGACAAAGCGACATTTTGTAGTTTATAATACTCTAAAAATGCTTCAATAAATCATCAGTCTGAAAATAAGATATAATATACAAGATTTTAAGACGCTTGAAGAAAAAGGTTCATCTTAGATTTAAGAATCTTTGGATCAAATTTCATTTATAACACAACAGGAAAACGAGAAAAAACAAAAGAGAAAACAACACGACCTTTCAGTAAATGTTCAGTCCAGTTTTGTATACTTGTCAATATACAAAGGCAACAGTATGACAAAGCCAGTATTTATTCCATTGAAGCCGAAATCAAAAAGTGTCATAAATCTACCTAATGATATACATCAGACGTTCCTAAGACATTGGTCTGTCAGACATAGTTATTTTAAAATATCTT